TATGACCTTTATCATTGTGAGTTTTGAATAGTGTCTGGTAATAAAGTTAGAGATAGCAAAAAATTTTCTCATGTGTCCCATTAGAGAATAAGTCAGGGAGTGTGACATCTTGTTTCAGCTTTTATACTTTTTTTTTTTCCTTTTTAACATGGATGTGTGTTTTGGTTGGGTTTTTCTCCTTCTATAGCCTGAGAGAAGAGCAAGGATATGCTCTAGTTTTCCATTTTTCCTTTGACATTTGCAGCTGAAATAATAAGGTAAAACAACCTATGAGAAGGTGATTCAGAAAGGTACTCGTATTGGACAGTCCACTAAATCTGTATTGCAGAAAGCTTGCAATGCAGACTGCACAAAACATTGCTGACCCTTTGTACCCAAAGTTATTTGGTCTTTAGGGCTTCTAATACATGTAGTCTTCCAAGTCCTATTTTCAAGAGTTTTAATTTATTTGAGTGACTTCATGCCAGATTTTATTAAAGATACTGGGAATAAAATGCTTGGGTAACTCCTCAAAACTTTTCCAGTTTGGTACAGAATCTTCTGCTTTACATTTATTTTCAAAAATACTGTGAGAGAAAGCTCATTTCCTCTGAAAGAGCTGAGTCCTTTCTCTCTTCTGAGGTAATTTGTTTTGCAGTGTCTCACAGTGCTGGCCCACTTGGCTGGATGTTACCTAGGAAGGGGGTTTGTTCTGGACCACTGAGGCATGTGGTAAAAGCATCAGTGTTAGGCTTGACTGGTCCTTCTGCTGCCCAAGTCTGAGTGTGGGTGCAGACTTCCAGGACTGGTCATCATTTAGACAAGTCTTGTTAGTTTGGCTAGCTCAAGCATTTGGAACACTAAATACTGACTACTACTTAGTGATTTATGAAGTTTGGGTTAAAGCAAGTATATATGAATGCAAAAATGCTTTATATAGTTATATTTTAAACTATAATTGATATTAAATGAAGATGTCAAAAATAATGCTATGATAAAGGTTTGTGTATCACCAAACTAATTGCTAGAGTATTTTATTTTGTCCAGTTAAGTTCATATTCATTACTAATGGATGGCTTTTTTAAAAATGCCATATGTTGATTCTCATGGAAAAATCAAATATCCAATGTAGGAAGCATGGTTGTTGTAGTAACTATATGGAATTGTAGTAACTACATGGTTGTAGTAACTACATGGAATTGTAGTTGCTTTGCCATAAGAAATACTGGCAACCTCCAGTCAGAGGCCTAATTCTATGTTAATAATCATCCTGCTTTTTGTATTTTTGTATTTTTGTATTTTTGTATTTTTATATTTTTGTATTTTAAAAAGACTCCTTCAGAAATAGACACTATTGAACTAGTGAAATTCAAACTATTTTACTGTACTGAAACTCAAACTTTTATCAATCTAAGTTCTGTTTTATTCTAGTCAAAAATATATGAGCTTTTAGTTGTGTCAAATATGACTTTAATGTCACTATTCTTTAAATACTGCCTTTTTCTTTACTGCAAAACCCTTTGGCAGAGAGTGGACTTCTCTTGTAAATAGATCTGTGATGCAATTTTTGTTTGTTAGTGGTGAGAAAGGTGTTTTGATTTGGGGGGTTATTTTGGTTTGGGGTTTTATTTGGTTTTTTAAAATTAATTTTGATGGCTCAAATTCAGTCAGCATACCTTCATGTTAGCTTTGAGATCAAAGTGAATTTTCACTTTGAATTTTTCACTTTCAGTTACAGCAAAGATTTTTTTAAAGTTTGTCAGAAATGGCAATTATCTTCTTCCTGTGCTAAACTACAGTTCACAGTGCCTTTTGTTTTGTCAAGAACATTTGAAAAGCATAACTTTCATGCACTGCAAACCAGTATCGAGTTCATTGAGACTTGCAAGCCAGTTAATTGAGTTAACTATGACTATTGATAGCCATAATGCAGACTTAAAACAGGTGTTCAGGACTAAAATCGCTGTGGAAAACCTGTGTTTCAGAACAGGGCTCAAGAAGAGCTTGAACTTTCTCCATGATTGAGTCTTTGGTCGTTTCTGACTTTGTTACACAGAAGTGAAAGTTTCCATGAGTTTAATGTGTCTGCTTTGGTAAAACTGATCAGTGTTGTGACCTACCAGATGTTCATTTTACTGTGTTTAGTGTTTTGCACTCAGTAGAACTAGTGCTTGAATTCCAGTAGAGAACAGGCTGGTGCACTTTAACCACTCATCTCCTATATTTGACCTCTACAGATGAAGTTTTTAAAAGTTCTGGAGCAATTAATCTTTAGCTGTCATTTCTGATTCAGATATTACCTGTGTCATCAAAATTAGTCAGTTGTAGCTTTGCTTTTCATTGTCTCTGTGCTCTCCATGAGACATTCTGAAGTTTTTGTAGTAGGAGACCTTTGATGTCTTTGCACTAATGCTGGAGGGACTAAGGTCTGTCTCCTGTATACAGTCCATAGATTTTCTTTTACTCTGAATTGTGAAAGAACTGATTTAAGAAATTGCAATTGGAGAGACAGTGTCAAAGCTTCTAGACTCCTCCAGTATTTGTTGGTTGTAGCAGGAAAGTTACCAGTAGATCCTAAAATTTCTTGGGCTGCTTTCTGCATGTATTATACTTTTTTTTTCTCATAAATATGTGTTGGGGAAATTTTCAGTTGGAGGGCAGAGAGATTGAACTTACAGAGCAGGTTCAACTCAAGGTGTAGATAAATGACATGCCACTCAATTCAGACAGATTTGGCTCCAGGACATATTTTCATTCCTGAGCAGTTCTAAGCACCTCAGATATTTCTCTGTGTGGCACTGGATGTGTTTTAATTCTAAAATCTTTTAAGTCCTAAGAAGCTGCTCTTCTGTGTAAGAATTACCTGTTTTAATAGTTTTACAACTGAGCTTTTGTCTGCTGTATAAATTCATCTTCCACCACCCCATACACACTTCAGACACAGGGCACTCACCACACATGCATGGTTTCTGAGCTCCTGCTAGCTTCTCTATGCAGTGACACAGGTGAGTGGCTCTTTTGGATGGGTCCCCCTACACAGGAGAGTGTTTTGGGGGAGTAGAGTCTCCATTTATTTTGAATTTGCTGGTTAGCATTAGTTCATGGGGAGGGGCCCTAGCAATGAGGAATGGACCTTGACAGGTTTGTCTTGGTAGCTTGAGCTGTACAGCTTGCTGCATGCTGAAGGTTACCCCCAGCAGAAGGTCAGCCAGCCAGCTGTGTGCCAGATGACTGCACAGCACCCAACTGCACACAGCCATCTCACATGAGAGCTATTCAAAACACTGTGCTAGTGACACTTTCTTCAGCTGAAAGCGTCATAGGAATGTGAGAGAGGTGGCTTGTTTTTCCTTTAGTTTTTTGAGCAATCCAGTGTTTATAACAACTTTCTGAAAATAAAAAAATATTTGTAAAATAAAGGGGTTTGCACAGACTGGTTTCCAAAAAATATGGGAAAAATATTCTTAGTAATACTTTCCATATTTGGAGCTTACACTTGAAAAAATGATGGGAGCATCACTCCTTATGATAGCCCCAATATGATTACAAAGCTATTCTGAGAGTGATGTGATAAAGTGCCATTCAGTGTATGAAATTTCCTTTAAAATTGTGCTTTGTTTCCTTAACACTCTAATATTTTTGCTATCTAAACGTATTTGCTGTCTTACTTCAGAAGAAACTGCCTGTGATTTCCAAGGGAGTTTTGCCTAAGGTAGGGCTTGAAACATCAGGACCAGGAATTAGTGTAATGTGACCCACCATTTGTATTGCTTTGGGGTAAATTTGAGAGAGAAGATTTAACATTGTGTGTGTGCCATGCTGAGATATTGCAATATCTCGGATGGGTTATTAGGCACCAATCCAAAGGTTAAGTGCAGCAACCACATGAGATGTGGCTTTATCCTTACATGATCTGTGCCCGTGTTCTGTTTTGTAGCCCTCTGAAATAGGTAATATCCCTAGAATAAAACATGTTTATAAGACTTTTTTGAAGCCTATTCCAAGCTATTAAATGTCATTTCAGTAGAAAGGCATTTTCTCATGTAATTTGAAATCTAGAAATCAATTCTTGTATGTGTGAACTCACTGACGTTTTAAATGTGGATCCCAATGTGCACCAGATAAATATTCACCACCTTTGAGAAAGTTTAGATCTGAATTTGCAGTTCAGGATCTTTTCTAATTTACATGCATATATCTTTTTAGGGTTTTATTTTCCATGCTCTTTTTGCTTGGCTTGCATTAAATAAAATGCTTCAATGGAGTGTGGTAGTCTAGCATTTGTTTTGCCTCAGGAGTGGATTGCCCCATCTTGCATATCTGGTCAAGTAAATTGCTCTCTTGCCTGCATACTTCAATAATAGTACTGGGCTTAAGACCTTCCTGTACAACCCCCCAGTGAGCAGAACCACAAGGGGCTGGGCCTGTGTGGTGCTAGCAGTCTACTCTATTGTCATAGATGCATTCATCTCCTATTTACATAAATTAATAGTTAAAACTTTTTTGGTTGCTCGAGAAATCTCATTAAGCTTTCAGAGTAGCTGTATCATGAGCACTGTGGCAATCACTCCCATTGACTTATCTCCTGCTGATTCACTGGGAAGCAGTCCATCTCAGGGTCAGGTCCCTAAGCTTCCTTGCAGAATTAAACAAATAGCATTTAAAAGAAAACGCAAATAATATGTGCAGTGCAGAGTGAATGTTGGTAAACTTCCTTATAAAAACAAGGTCGTTATTAAAATTTTTAAAAATAAAATCCTATTTTTGTCTGCGGGGCCAATTTTCTCTCAGGAAATAGATCATACTTTTTATCCATTTTCTGCTAGTTGCTGGGGAATGTTTGACGTTGTAAGAGAAAGGTTGGTTTGTATAACCTGAAGTGGGAGGAGAATGTTTAATATGAAAAGCTTGGCCAGATTTTTATTATTATTATTTGAATGTTCTGCTTTACCCTTTTAATTTATCGTCTTCACTGTATGATTTTTATTTTTCTTTATTTCCTATTTGGTTTTTTTTTATAGATTGGAGAAAGAGAACATTCAGCACTGCATTAGCAGTGAAGCGAAGGCCCAAGCCCTTCAGGCCCAGCAAAGAGAGCAGGAGCTGACACAGAAGATGCAGCAAATGGAGGCCCAGCATGAGAAAACTGGTAGGTGGTAGGGAAAGATTAGAGCCTGGGCACTCACTCACAAGCCAGGCCCACGCCTTACTGTGAAATGACATCAGGAACACCTGTAACCTTTGGCTGGCCGAAGGGAGCAGATGCTAACTACACCGGAGATTCCGAATTACATATTAGTTAGCGTTTAAAAGAGAAAATGGGAAGTATTGCCCACTGTCTGTTGATTTCAGAGTGCTGCTCTCACATCTGCTGCACCATCTGGATTATGAGTTTATTTACCTGTGTTCAAGAAACGTAAAGCTGAGAGAGACCACAACAAAGTAGAAAAACAAAGGGCTTGTTTTTGGCTGGATTTTCAGGCACACATGTTATATAAAGAAAATAGCATCAGAAGCTCTGCGGGAAATGCTCTGAGCTTACAGTTAAAGTCTCCTGAATAGCATTGAACAGTTCCCACAGTACACACATTATAGCTACTCTAAAAGCTTAATGAGTTTGCTTCGGCATCCAAACTGGAGAAAAGCTTTAGCCATTAATCGGTTCTTAATTCACTGTCGCAGCTGGATGTAATTCACTGGCTCCAAATTGATATGTTCCTTTATTTAATCTTTGCAGCCTCAAACATTTTTAGCATTACCATGTGCCTCCCCCACATCCTCAGTCTAGAAGAAAGATGTTTAATCCCTTGCATACTTCAGGTTCTCATAATAGGAGACTTCATTGCATTGACTTAGCCCATCAATAACATCTAACTTTAATCTGGAAGTAAAATGGGTTTTCCAAACAAACAAAAAAGAGCTTTTTGTATTATGAAGTACTATGCCAACAACATTAATAGAAGTGCATATTATAAATAAAGAAAAGGGAATTTTTAAGAGATGAAATCTGTAACCTATGAGCATGGAAAGGAGGAGGAGTTTCAGCTGGTATGGAATAGCTGGAAATTATGTATTTATGTGTTTAACAAAATACCATATTTACCCACCAGTCATGCTGTACTTTCAGGAAAACTATACAATGTATATTAATTTTAAGGGATGTTGTATAATACGTAAGGTAGCAGGCATACTATTAAATTTTCTGCCTTTTTTTAGTATTATCACAGTATTAAAGGATATTTCCATGTGTTCAGGGAATGCAAACAGCTACATTATGGCTGCTGCCTACACTGTAGGAGAAGAAAAGAGGCTCTCAGAATAATTTTTTCCTCCTTTAGGCAGCACATCTGCATATGACCATGTGTAATTTTTCACAAGAGAAATGTAATTTACCTTCCTGGTGTATAAATTGTCCCAGTATATAAAAATGAAACAATAGTAGGCCAGATCTGTTTTTATATATCTCTAGTAGAATTAGAGGGAATTTATAGTAATTTATAATGTATATAGAGAAAACCTTGTTTATTATGACCCTACACACATAGAAGGAATTTGGGCAAGAGTGGTTATGCTTTCACTGATTTTAAAAGCAAAAATCAAGAAAGATCATTTTGCAGTATCTTCCTTTTGAAAGAATAAAGATACCTGGATTCTAGGTCATGAGTTTAGGTGCAGTCCAAACTGATAGTATCTGAAAATTACTTTATAAAATGGTTTAATTTCAACTGTCACTGGACAGTATGTCTAAATTGTATAATTTAAGAATAAAAAATTGCATTATTCATGGTAAGCTCAGGACACAGTAAATAAAAGAACTGCTGTTTTAAGGAGATACTGAAATGAGTCTACAGTGTGAGCATTTGGGCTGCTGGTGTACCCTCTGCACCAGTTGAGCAGGCAAAAGTCTGCTAAAGCATGGCTTGCCAATTGTATTCTTCCTAGAAATGTCAGTGAACTTGTAGCTAAAAAGCAAGTCCACCAGATTAGATATCTAGTCTTCTCAGTGATTCTTCTCTTACAAGACCAAATTCGGTAGCAACATTGCTTTAACACTTCAGCTAATTCTGACATAGTGCCTTAATTTGGTAAGTGATGATGTCCAAGTAGCTGAAGTTTAAAAGACATTTCAAAACTAGAATGACCTAGAAGAAAGAAATTAAGAATATATAAAATTGTTTCGATGCTATCTATAAATTTTTATAATTGTAATTTTATAATATCATAATTTTATGGTTTCTAGTAGAAGAACTGGATTCATTGCTGACCTCCCAGAATACATTCATAGCAAAATTAAAGGAAGAATGTTTTGTGTTGGCAAAAAAGTTGGAACAAATGTCAGAAAAATACAGGTTAGTATATTTTTATTAACATGACCCTTTTATTACTAGGATATGCTTATTTATTGTTTTATTTGTATTTTAATATTTATTACTTTTCATCATATCAATGTAATATACACCCCTTAAAAATTCAGTATAGTATGTGCCCCTTAAGATTATGTTTCTGACTAGTAATTCAAATTTCTGTGACAATTCCAAGGTAAAAATTGTGTCATATTTTCTTCCTTGTGTTCATATTCTTAATATGAAGGGTGGAAAATAGTTTAAAAAGGTACAATTCAAGTTTATCTGAAATTATATGAAAAAAATGATGTCAAATCTGTTGTAATTTTATTTATTTACTCTAGTGCTCTTTTCACAGTACTGCACTTCACACTGGACATTGTCTATAAAATAATAGTCATCAAAATTGATTGTCATTGATGCTCTGATTATGCTGCCGTTTTTTATCAATCAATAGCAGATCTAAGTTCAAAGCCATTAAAAACTGAGGAAAAAAGCAACACCTGGAATAATTTAAAGAAATACAAAGCTATGGAGTTATCTATTCAAAAGTTCTGTAAGACAGAACTATTTGGGAAAGAAAACATGAATTTTGTAGTTCTTTCGCAGCAAATAAGTTGAAATTTTTTTGGGGGTTCACATTTAGAGTGGTAAACTGGACTTCACTGGAGAGTTGGCATTCTGTAGCTTCTGTAAATTACATGCAAAGTGAATTTGGTAATTAAGGCTAATATTCATCTGATGGCTCATGGGAAACACTCAGCAAAAATAAAACTGGTTTTCAAGACAGGATTCTTTGGCTGGATGGTTTTAATCATCCTCTTAAGGTAATGAAGAAGAGGCAACACTCACTCAGAGAGAGAGCTCATTTATCCCAGTACCCTCTTCCCAGGAATGGTCAAAGGGGAATGATTTAAGTAGATGACAGACACACACACATATATATGTCTGTAATAAATAAAATCTGTGGTGTTTCCCATGGGTAGTGCCTCCACTGCCCATCCTTCTTCCCACTGAATATAGTGTTGACTAGCTGTTAAGTGGCTGAAGGTGGGAGATGAATCCCATTCAGGGTGTTTAGGGAAGAAACGAGAAACTTGAGTGACTGTGAGCAATATTCCCATGCAAGTGTTGTGAGGGGTACTTGAGAGAGAAGCAAAGAGAATTTTTCCTCTGAAAAAGCAGAGCTCTTCTGCTAATGTAATGCAAAATCTAAATGGATTAAAACCATATTATTATTCCAGCAATAAAAAAGCACACAGACTTTGTTGCTAGAGCTCACAGTCACAGACTAGTAACTGTAAAGGATGAAGGAAAGACAGAAAACATACTCTGAAAACACATTATTCTCTGAAAATAAACACTAGATATTGCCAAGTGTTTTTCCCCCTAGCAGCATTAGCTGCCTATGTCAAGGACCTGAAAATGGGAAAAGGAGCCCTCTTGCATCTCTGGGAAGTGGCATTTTTTGCACAAGAAACTGTAAGGAAGAATGCATGAAAGTGGTTCTGAGAAGTGGTCCTAAAATAGGTTGAGCTTGCCTTCATTGGATTGGGAGCTGCTGCAATCAGTTACAGGGAGAGAAATAGGTANAAAAAAAAAAAAAAAAAAAAAAAAAAAAAAAAAAAAAAAAAAAAAGGAAAAAAAAAAAAAAAAAGGTAAAAATGAGAACAGCAAGGTGGAGCTGGAGGTGGTGGAAAATGACAGACTAATATAGATGGCTTCACAAAGTGATGTGATCAGGAGATCAGATGCAGAAAATTATTTTAGCCAAGTTCTAAATGCATCATCAGCACCGTGTATTCCTCAGTAGCACCTCTCCAAATGGCAATCTTCAGCTCATTGTCACTGAATGTTGTGTAAAAACATATTCTGGGACAGGATATTGTAGTTTTGTCTTCTGGAAAAAAGCAGTAATTTAGGGAAGATTTTATAACTTAGTACTTATGTACATTAATAAAAGCAGATCATAAAGCGGCAGTGTGCCCTATTTTCACAGAAAACATTTTTCTTTTTTTTTTTTTTCCATGTTTTTGACTTTACCACAAACTGAATTTTGGACCTGGATATGTATTTTCTTGCTGTACCTCTAGAATCTTTGTTCCTTCATTTCCATGGGTTTAAGAAATAACTGTGTGCTACCAAGACAGTTATTTAATTGGTGGAACAGTCAAGCTCTTTTAATAAGATATGCAATAGTAAGTTCATTTAAATTTTATTTCATTTAATAGGAACTATGCATTTGTAATAAGAGATATTTCAAATTTATCTGTGACAGCTACATATTTATACAGTTTCAGTGGAATGCATCTGAATGGCACATATATTTTTATATTTAATGCAGGTTTTCTGAGAAATCTAAACTGTTTTTTTGTTTATATGTAAGCTGGAACCATTTTTTGAGCTAGTCCCTACACAGAGAGGCGTCAGAAAGACAATGTCAGACGAATTATAAACCCCTCAAGCTGTGCAGAAAGAAGATAGTGTCTGTGAAGGTTTTTGTATGCATAGGCATGTTTAAAAATATAGTCGTTTGTTGATTTCTTCTCTGTTTCTCTCTTGTTTTGTTCTTTTTTTTCCTCTGTCACTGTCTGAGTTTCTAGGTTGTAGATTAATGCTTAACACTACCCACTGTGTATTTGTGATTTGCGTTTTGTAATTAAGGGGAACAATGGGAGTCCATTGGGTCTCGTTATATATAATGGTTGGTTTAATTTGTTTCACTTCTATCTTGTTAATTGTAAATTGATCATTAAGATTTGAATTCTAATCTGTCACCAGGGTTGTGAGTATTGAAGCTAGAGCAATGATCCTCGTTTTAATCACTGATGATGAGAAACAAATTTTATCATTTTGGTACATATTGCAGTTCATATATTTTAACACTGTTTTTTATGGTGTTATAAATATTGTTAAATGACTTTTAGTGTAGTTTTACTGTTTGGACTATAATGTATAAATTATATTACTGGTTTGGCAACAGTAGGCATCCAACTGTGTGAGTTTAATTGAAGTAAAGAACACATACCCGGCTGAACTATTTTTCTGCATGTTTGGTTGACTGCAGTCATTGCACTCAATACCAGAAGTGAAATGTATGTTGAAGGTAGCTGTATGAAGATGGGGAACAGTCTGTCTGAAGGTTCAGTCACTAAAATTAGAAGCAACAATACTGCATCAACAGAAAATATTTTAGAGTGTATTTAATTTCTGTGCATGTAAACAATTGATTTTAAGAGCAGGAAAAGGCAGTGTTTAAAAAGCACTAAAATGCAAAAGCAAGTTCAGAGGAGCAAAGGCAGCATTACCACCTTAATGGTCAAAAATCAGCTCATCCTAAAGATATCCTAAGATTGGCTTTGAATTGTGACTATTTAAGATTTCCTCTCTTTTTTTTTTTTTTTCCCTTTAGTATTTAAGTGGTTTGGAGGCTAACCTGTTTGGGGTTTTTTCCAGGACTCTTCCAGCAAAGATGGTAGATAAAACCTTAAAGTGGTTTTTAAATAGAAGTTGAGGTAGTTAAATGGATCCAGAAGTATAGAGGGGTTTTTTCTGTTGTTGCTTCTGCCCCCATCAATTATTTTTGATATAGCGACAAGTGAATGAGGTTTGGCAAAATCTATTATGCATCCAATTACAAGCATGCATTTTACATTTTCATGTGATGTTGCTCTGTGTACTTTCAAAATAACAGTGATTTCATACAGGTCATTTGAGTGTATCAGATATCAGAAGCACACACAGATCCATGACTGCCTGACTTGTGGAGCCAGCCTGAGTCTGCAGAAGTGACCCTTCCTGCTGAGTTCAGCTCCAAATGCATGCATGCTTCAGTTTCTACCTCAGCTTATTGCTCAGACTGCTGGACCCAGAGTAGCTCTGGTGGAACAACATCAGCGCATCCATGCTGTGTCCTTTAGTTCTGCAGTGTCCATCAGACAGTGATTCATTTATCTCTGTCCCTGGCATTATGAGTGAACTATCCCCGAAGTTCAGCACTGTGGGCTTTGATGCTTACCCCCGCTCTCTTCATTCTGTGATACCTTGGGAGCAGAGTTGTTCAGAAGCATTTACACAGGACTGGTTGTGCCTCTGGCTGAGTGGAATTCCTACTCCTGTACAAATGTTCTATAGCATTCAGTACAGTTGTTAGGCTTAGTACAATTATGGTGGGTTTGGATTTGTTGGCTTTTTTTTTAACTCAATGTGTGAAGTAACTTAAATATCGCATAGAATTAGCTGCCTCATCTTAATCTTTGGAAACTGAGGTGGATAAAAGGTGTGTTTAAAGATGCAAAGGGAATCAGTCACAAGTGACAATGGAAGACTCTTGGTATGCAATATTGTATTGGACTGGTGTTCTTTCTTTTATGCCAACACTCATGAGCTTTTAACATGGACCTAACCATTCTGTCCTTCATATGTGCTGTCCTTCAAAACTCCAGGGTCATTAAATATTTGAGTCTTGGTGGTCAGACTCTTAGTTACATGGAAAGGATGTTGTATAAATAATGTCATAATTAGAAAATTTTTTCTGCGTTTAACTGTAATTACAAAAGATGTTTTAGGAGAAGACAACACTCGTACGTGCTTCAAAGCATCAGGCATTTAGAGCTCTATTTTAGAGACTGGAGATTATGATACTTGTGGTTTTAATTAACTCATTTCTTACTTTAATTAATTGTGATTTTCAGTAGTGTTTTGATTTTGATTGATTTGAATTACTTGATCTTTCCAGAAAGACTTTGGGCACCTACAAGTGTAATGGAGATTAATAAATCCTTATAAAACGTGGACAATTTTATCACCTTGAAAGTTGCTTTTGCTGTTTCCATGAATGAGACAGTCACATAGAAATAGAGAAAAACAAGCAGGATCCCCCAGTTGGGAAACCCAACAAATGTGATAATTTGCAGTATTCCTACATGGCAAATGCTGTTGTTGAATTTTACTGGAAAGAAAGGAATGCAGAATTTAATTTAGTCCTGTGTCAGGTCTCTTTGAGCTGCTCTGCAGTGCAACTTTGCTTTTATCCACTGGTTGTCTGTCTTACAGTATCAGCATGAAGTACAGACTGCATTCACATTGTGTGATAACAGTTGGTCCAGCTGGCAGTGCTTTGTTAATGCTGACATTTAAGTTACTAGTATTTCTATAAAATGGTCGGTGGAAAAATCCAGTTTCTGGTACCTTCCTATAACATCCTGCCCGCTGTTATGTACCCATCCAGGAAATTCCTGTGCACTGGAATCTAATACACAATTCTGGTGTATTTGTGTGTGATCTTCCTTAATTGAGCTGTAACTCTCAATCTAAATTCAATTACATACAGTCTCAGTCCAAAGTTTCCTTTGCTGAGTTCTTTCAGATTCACAGATGATACCATGCATTGTTCTCTATTTAAGCTTGAAAAGATCATGTTGTCATTTCTAGATTTGACTTGTCAATGTAACAACATGTTTTTGAAGGAGGAGTATTCCTTCCTCCCTGCACTTTGTTGTATTTTTCAGAATGTCAGTTGTTATTGCATTCTGTAACAGCCAGGAAGGTAAAGTATCTTTCTGCTGTAATTGCAGCATATTTAAGTTTATGATTTAAAGATATATCTGAAGCTTTTTAACCTTGAGATATGGAGTGGCAGATGCCATAAATCAAATTTACTTACTTTTGATTTGTACTTTCTGATGGTATAGCAGATTCTGACATGTTCTCATTAACCTTTTCCAAAGAGTTAAAATTGTACAAGTGCATAATGTATATTTTATCACTATTTAATCTGAGGTCTTTTCCTGATATTAAGAAACAGCTCATGCCTGTTTCTCCATTTGCTGATGGTTAGAGATGTAGCAAGTAGCAGTCCCAGGTTATTCATGGATCTGATGTCTCTCCTCACCCGTGAAGAATAAGAATTGCTTAGAAGTGACTAATATTCTTAAAGGCTATGCTGAATTTTATGTAGATTAGTGTGTGCCTGTATGATTTGTCCCTTGTTTCTGAAAGTTTATTTCATTTTCCTCTAAGTGAGGTTTTGGGTTTTTGGTTGGGTGTGAGTATTTTTTTGCGGAGAAGGGTTTATGAAGGTTTTGTTGTTGATGNTTTTTTTTTTTTTTTTTTTATCTGTGCAATGTTATTTTAGACATAGGAGGTTGCTAAAGTTTCTAAAACAGTACCACTATTGAAAGTTCAATCTGTGAACTATTGAGAGTTCAACCCATAAAGCGGAGTCAAAGTTGAAAAATGTTTTAGTAGCTGTTTTTTTTAAACTAAATGTTAGCTTTTGCTAATAAAGAAGTTGAAATGTGTTCCCAAAATGTTAGCCAAATTCTTGCTTAACAAGTATGAATTTACATGTATTGATCTTATTTAACATTGATGCATAATGCCAAATGGCATGCCTGTTTAAATTAGGCGGAAATTAGCATAGCCAACCTATAATTGAGTGATTGCCAGTGGCATATTTAGAAGATACCCACCAGTATCATCTTTTGTCTTAAAATTATCTGAAACAGCATTTTGTTTCTCTAAGTTCTAGTAATAGCTTGTTTATGCATTACATATAAATGTATGAAATGTTACAAATGCTGGAGCCACATATTGATGGCATACTGCAGGATGAAATCTGACAACATCCATCATCGCTTTGTTTTACTTCTGTAGATCTGAAGTCAACCAGCTTAGTCAGGATAAAGAGTATCTTCATGGCAGATTGGAGAAGATGCAGAAACGGAATGATGAATTGGACCAACAATGTATCCAGCATGGGAGAATACATGAGAGAATGAAGTCAAGGTAGGAGGTCCTGTTAATCTGTCAGTATGTGATATGCTCAACTGTACCAGTCATGTTGTATAAACATAAAAAATGACACGAGGTTGTGTAAAAGTAATATTCTTTCCTTGTGAAATGACCACTCTTTCCCCCTCCTCAACCATTCTGTCAAGTTGTTTTTTTTAACATCTTTTGCTTGTGCCATTTTGGATAAATAAAAGGAAAGCTTGAACAACATAGTCTTCCAAAGAATTTAAACCTAGTACATATGTGTGTGGGCTGCTTTGGCTGTTCTCTGCTGTAACTTGTATGAATAGTCTTACAATTTCAAAAAGAAAAAAAAACAAGGGGAGGGGGAAGCTGGGGAGGAAGGAGGGAGGAGGTTATTCAGTGATGTGAATGTGGTGTACAGATGTGTGTTCTATTATGCCATGTAATAGTTGTATTTTTGGGGTTTACCAAGACAAATCTTACTGAAAATCGTAGTACCAGAGAAATACTGACCATTTCTAGGCCTTGCAGAGAAGCAGTGACTTCCTCAGGATGAGGTGGGAGCAGCTACAGCAAAACTAGTGTGAAATACTTTCACCAATATCAATTGACTGTTCTGGCCAGAGTATCTAGACTGATAATGGCTTGTGCTGTGACATGGATTAGGCTTCCTCAAAGATCACTGTGGAGGCTTTTTCCTTTTGGTTCCAGAAAGTTAATCTATGCTTTCTTCTTCTGTTTTCCACTCCACATTAAGTGTAATGGGCACTGGAGGGAGTTCTGACATACTTGTGGAGGTAGATGATGAAGTATAGAGGAGGCTGAGAGGCAACTCTGCAAATCCAGTCATCAAAGCTACCTCTTGTCAGTAGTCAAAGGCAAAATGCAGTTTAACTTTATTTGGACTAGACAGCCCTTACTGGGAAAAATTCTGTTTGCTTTTTTTCATCATTGACCACCTTAGAGGAGCTGAGCTTGCAAGTATTAAGGCAGCCAGTCCTGTATGTTCATTTCTTTAAAGTATTGATTTTTAATTTTTTTTTTTTTACTGCCATCTCTTTATTCTCTGTCTATAATCTTCTTTCTCGCAAGTACTTAATGTGTTCATTTCGGTCATCGAGAGCCACTTCTTTCCTCTTCCCTTTGAGATTTCTGTCTGTACCTCATCCTGTTCTTCTGTAACCTTGTATTGTCATCGTCATTTACAGCTCAGAGAACAAAGAAATTCAAAACGCTGCAACTACATCCCTCATCTGTGTAACCACACAATATTTTGATTTATCTCACCTCCCTTTTGATTTCTTTAGTTGTAGTGGATTCGTATCATATGCAGGACTGAGGATTCGAGTTTACTTTCAGGAGAAAAAAAATTTCCCCCTCTTTTTTCTCCTAGCTGTTCTTTTATAGAATTATGAGTATCTAGTAGAATTTAAAAATGCTTTGCAAGTTTTTAGGGTAACCTTTCCTCTATCTATTTTTATAAATAAGATAGATTTACTGGAAAATGTTGCTCATTCTCTGCTGCAGCAGCAATGATTATACACTAGAAAAGACTGAAAGCATTAATCCAGAACAAAAAAGTGGTTTGAAAGCAGAGTGGTCATGCTGCAGGCAATGCCTTACCTTCTGCTGCTGTTTTGCAAACAACAGAGAAAGCAGGGCAGTAATAGCATTTGTCTTATTTAATATTTTAGAATATGTAAATGTGGCAGAGATTATCAGGTGTTCTAAACATGAACAATATACTTTACCAGCATTTTAAGAGATGGCTCTTGTAACATATTTTTAATTGTCATCTTGCACTCTAGTAATTTAAAATCCAACTAATAAGTGACAAGACTGATACTCTAAACTGCTTTAAAATATCAGTGTAATTTTAATTTCCATGTGAAAACTGTAGTAGATTTTCAGGATTAACTCCCAAATGCTGTAATTTGGTCATGAAGTTTACAAATCTAGGTGAATAAAAGCAGAAGGAGTAACTACCCCAACAAATAAATCTTGCAGTTCTGTATATTTATGTTGAAGAATTTCCAATAAATAAAAATAGTAATTTTTCTCTTCTGATTTTGAAAATAGAAATCTGACTATACTATTTAGTAAAAGCAAAACAACAAATAATAATAATGTATTTTGCCTCAGATTTTTATCCATCACTTAGATACTAATAATATCAGCAAATACTGTTGATGGTTGCTTCTTAACACATTTGTTTCTCCTTTGTATGCAGCTACAAATAGCAGTGGTCGTTTTGCAGCACAATCCCACAAAGTGCATTCTGACCTAATTTTCTAGCTGCTGTTATTCTGGATCTTCAGAAAATTTCTTGTATTAAAATGATTTTGGCTAAACTTGGAACATAACGTTTGCATTTTAAAAATGAGGTATTTTGATATTTGAGAAGGTATCACTGTCCATACACTATCCAGGGACAGCATGACAGGCCCTGATACAACTGTTTTGTGAAAAAAACAATACTGAAGTGACCAATCAGAATTTCTTTTGGAGCAAAAATATTTTGGCAATCATAATAGTTGCTCTCCTGAAAGTGAACAAGAAAAATGTTTTAGTGCCATTCTTACCTCTGTGTGAATTTGTGCTGCAAATGAATATAGTCCAAAATTAAATAAGCAAATTTCTAAGAAAGAGATTACTTTAAGTTCCAGTCATTAAACAGGGTATGGAATCAGTCTTTTTAGTGTAATGGAAGTATCCAGCCCTTCTGGTGTGTTTTTACTCAGTGAAATATGGCATTAAAAGAAGTAGATGTCCATTCTAAATGATACAGTTGTCGCATGCTGCTGAGGCAAACTTGAACTGAAAGATGTACAGTTTGCAGGACTGAGGTGACACATTGAGTCCAGCTGGAGTTGGTCATCATGTGTATCTTCATGGATATGAATCTTGCAGAAATTCTTGTCTGTTACGTAGCAGAGTCCATTTTTATAAATTTTCGACCTCAAAGCAAGCTGTCTTATTAAATTCTTCAAATTCCCATTCTGTAGATTTGTGTTGATAGTAGAAATTAGCAGATAGCAGAAAGTACAAAATGTCTTATAAGGCAGCTGTAAAGGTAGAAACTAGCCAAGAATAAAAATAATATGAAGCAAAACTAAAAGGTTTCTATCTTTTGGTTTTGGTTTTGGGTTTTTTTTCAGTGCACCACTCTGTATAATTTGAATATATTCCAGATGAAGGAAAATTCAAAGCCAAATGAATTGGGTAACTGTATGTATAAAGTTGGTTCATTCTTTCCTTAATCTGTTTTCAAACTGAATTTCCAGGTGTGCATTTTCACCTCTATGCTTAGTCCAGTTCTGTAAATGCAGATCCACTTTCTCACAAGCTCTTTTCTATTCCAACTTGAAGAGTAAGAAGAAAAAGAGAAGAACCTTCCTAGATCTATTATTGTTTGAACATATATACGAATAAGTATTATTTTCCCAAGCTGCCATGGTCAGGATTTCATCAGGCTGTTTAAGCTTTCACTGAACTTAATTGACAACTCTTATAGTTACAAGGTTCAATTATGGCTTTACTTTTCTGCATCTGCTCTTCTCATAAAACAAGCATTTGATTGTAATGCAGCTATTTAGAGGATTGCTTCTGTGGACAGCCAGTGTCTAAAATGGGAGGCATTTAATGAAATATAGTTTAGCTATTTTCCTTGTATGTTTCCTGTTGAAGACCTTCAAGCAGGAGAACAAAATCCTAGGCAATTTCTTTCCTTCTTTTCAAGATAAACCAGACATGCCTTTACTTTTTATCAAGTGGTTAAAGAAAAAAAAAAGCATTTGGACTGTAGTTTACAGGAAATATAAGGCTCTTTAAAAATCTATTTAATAAAATGTAAATTTAGAAGCTTCTAATAAGTTTCTTTCCAAACATTTTTCTAAAGTTCAGCAGATAGAATTTGGGGCTATGAATTTTCTCTCAGATCTTGTGGTTACGGTTTATATTATTAATTTTAATTTTTGCTGTAATGTGTGTGATCAATGTCCAATCTGTATAACATTAACAATAATGATACATTTAACGCAAATCTCTCTGGGGCTTTTTGTTTTGGAGGTGACACTGTTAGACATATTTCAACTGTATTTTTGCTAGCTAAAGTTAAAAAGAAGAGCCTACAGGACTGGCAGTTTGGGGCAGATGTGTGTCTATTCCTTAGGCATCAGTGGTTGTAAGTTAACTATAAAAATGTTGCAACCATCTGTGTAACAAGACGGCAGAGATCTGCTCTCGCCTGTTACTATAAATAAGAAGGAGATTTGTTTGACTTCATAGACATTGGATTTATAAAGACTCTATGTGTCAAATTGGAACTACGTGCCATGTTGCTGAGATGTGTCTGCAGCCAACTACCTGGGGTGTCTTCCCCTTCAGACATTCTAGTGCGGTGCAGCAACTGTGCAGAAATGTCTGTATAGCACAACATGTGACAAATTATATTTGTTTTCTACCTATGGCAAATGTATGATTCTTATGGATAAGCTTATCTGGAAGGATAGCTAAAATGGATCTTTAAACAGACCACTTGAGTGAAAATGTGATAACCAGTTTGGCAAGGATTTTAAAGGCTATTTTTTTGTTTTTTGGGTTTTTTTTTTGTTGTTGTTTCTTTGTTTTGTTACTAAGTGGTAGTGTATGCAAGATCATGTATGCTTGAGAGAGCACATACCTGTGGGAATTGAGACATATCTAGAGAGAATACACCAGCATTTTCAAATACCTGCTATGTAAAATCACAATAGCTAGTTTGTCACTATTACACTACTGAATAGAAATCTTGGATTTGGCAAATCTTCAGTAGAACTACTAATTAAAATTTATTCTTGATAACTGGAGCAATCAAGTTACATTTGAAATTTTGCATTTTCTCTTTAAAACTGATTTACTTTTTTGTGTGTATGTGTGTTTACAAGACACAATGACGGATGGACAAATTTAGGTTATATCATTACCTGAAAGCCCTTTATTTTCTTTCAGTTCATTCTCAGTTAAATACATTATCTTTCTTATTCTACCAA